TGCTCACCGATCCAGCGCGCGGGCCAGCTCCAGCGTCATCCTCCCCAGGTCCTGGGGGCTTTGGGGTGCTGCGGCAGCTGCCTTCCGGCCCTCGGCCTCCTAGAGCAAGCCCAGCCACAGACCGTGAGCTGGGCAGGGGCTCCAGCAGCAGGTAGGGCTGGGTGCTGGTTGCCTGCAAGCACCCCCATCCCTGCAGGGTCCTGGGGTGCAGGGTCCCATGGAGTGGGGGATGGTCCCTGGTGGGGGCAGCGGGGCACTTACCCCTGCCCCACTGCTGCCCGTGCTGCCCTCGCTGGTGCTGCTGCCGGGGCTGGGGGGGCCGGAGCCCACGTCCCGCTCCTGCTGCAGGTGCTCGATGAGCAGCAGGTAGGCGGCCTCCTGCGCGCCGAGTGTGTAGGTGCCCAGCTCCAGGCCCCGCTTCTCCTTCTCCGCCAGGTGCAGCTGGGTCTTTGCGTCGGCCATGGACTCCTGGCACGGGCAGGAGGCGCTGACCCAGCTGGAGGGCCCAGGAGTCCTGACCTCCCGCACCTCCACCCCGGGGGCTGCCTCCCCCTCCCCCTTCCCAAAGCAAGGGCAGACCCAGGTGTCCTGGCTCACTCGCACCATGAGCCTCCCGCCCTAGCCCCCCACCCGTGCCCAGAATACAACCCAGGTGTCTGGGACCTCTGCCACGGTGCTGGCCCCGCTCCCCATCACCTGCCGACCCACCTGGAGGGCTGCCAGCTCCTGCAGCAGCTGCGTCTTGTCCAGCTTCGGCCGGGGCCTCTCCCCGGGCAGGGCAGCCAGCGAGGCCTGGACGGCTTGCTCCACCTTGGCCCGGATGGCGTCGCTGGGCCGGGTCACGGCGCCGGGGGGCCCGGGGCAGCCCAGCTCCAGCAGGGAGACCTCCACGGCTGCCTGCTCCGCCTGTAGCCGCTGGAGATACTCCCGCAGCACCCCCTCTTCCTCCTCCTCCTCCTCCTCCCTGGGGCTGGGTGGGCTGCAGAGGCAGGGGGGGGGACAGCACTGGGAGCTGGGTCGCTTGCAGGAGCTTGGGGGCTCCATCCTGGTCCCCAGGGGCTGGCCCTGCCATGCCTTGATGCCCGGGTACCTTTGCTGTCCACACATGCCGGGTTCGCCGGCTGCCTCCTGCCCATCAGGCTCCGCTCTGCCCAGGAACCTCCTGGCCTCCGCCAGCACGGCGGCCGTGTCTTGCGAAGCGTGCTCCACAGGGGCTGCCACGGCAGGGCACGTGCTGGGCATTGCTCGCAGGGGCCCCGTGGCATGCCATGCTCTGGCTGCCAGCCTGCGGCTGGAGCAGGGGTGGAGGAGCCCATCTGCCTGGACTCACCTGCACTTGGGGAGCACCCCCCAGCATCCAGCTTCGCCCTGGCCAGGGCTAGCAGCACCTCCAAGGCCTCCATGCGATGCTCGCTGTCGGGACAAGCCAAGCGCGGCCTGAGCCCGGTCCGCAGCCCGGGCAGCCCCCGCCGCCCCCTGCCCGGCGCAGCCCCTCACCTGCACTGGGCGGCCAGGCGCAAGGCGGTGCTGTTGGACTCGTGCTGCCCCAGCAGCATGCTCAGCCGCTCCGAGTCGCTCTTGCACTCCCGCAGGGCGCCCACGAGCAGGTGGTTCAGGCCCTTGAGCCGCTCGATGCACCTGGGGGAACGCAAGGTGCTGCCGTTAGGGCCCGGTGTGGCTTGCCAGGGGTTAACAGCCCCGAGGAGCGGGGCAGGGTCCATGCAGGGTGTCAGGACTCCTGGGTCTGCTTCTGTGGGCTGAATCCCCCTTGCTTCATGCCTCAGTTTCCCTGAGTGCTAGCACTGGGAAGGGAGGGGAGGGGTGGGTGGACACAGTGTGCCATCCCTGGTCTTGATGGGCATGGCTGGTCCCTTCCTCACCCTCGCAGCTGCTGCAGCTGGTCATCCAGCTCCCTGCCGGAGAGCTCCGGGGCGGAGGGGAGGAGGCGGCAGAGGGGCTGCATGGCCGGGTGGTCCTTCAAGCACTGGAGCAGGCTCTGTGCCCTGGCCAGCGGGTCCTGCGGGGCAAGCAACGGTAGGTCAGTGCAGAGCAGGGGCAGGGGCCGCAGGGGAAGGCTGAACGTCCTGGTTCGTGGGCAGGGGGTAACCAGAGACCTCCGCGGGGGCACGCACTGCAGCACCATGCCCTAAAGGAGACTGCACGGGGGGTGACCTGTTGCTGCCCACGGCCACGTGGCCCCTGCTGCAGCTGCAGGAGACTCCAGCCTCTGGGCCATGGCTCTGTCTGGCCTGAGGGAGACGTGGCTCCGTTACCCGGGGTCTGTCCCCAGGGCAGAGGGAGCCCAGCCGGCCCCGGGGATGGAGCAGATTTCCTGGGGGCGGGTGTGCAAATGCCTTCCACAGTCCGGGGAAGAGGGACCAGGACCTCACCTGGAGCAGCCAGGGGTCCCCTTCCCCGACAGGGCTGCCAGCTCCCCGGATCGGGGTGGTGGCCGAGCCGGGAGGGCTCCAGGCCTGGCCGGGCGTCTCGAGCTGGTAGAGGGAATCCTGCAGCTCCTTGACCTGTGCAGAGAGGGGCAGGGGTCTCATTGCCCCGCTGCTGCAGAGGCACCGTGCTCTCCCCTGGGCAAATCGATCAGGATCTCACAACCGACACCAAGACGTCCCCACAGGAAACGGTGAGCAAACGAGACTGCCGTGCTGCCCTCCGCACGGCTCGAGCGCCGGCTTTGTCTGCCGTGGTTACCAGGGGGAGCCCAGCCTGGCCCACAGGGCACCTCCTGGCCAAACTGCAGGTAACACCACGTTGCACGGAGCTGGGGGGTCCCGCTCAGACCCTCCCTGGGGCAGTGCCCTCTGCTCTGCTCTGCTCTGCTCTGCATGGGTCTTGGAGCCTCCAGTGCCCGTCTCGGGAGGGCTGATGTTGGACCCACTGCACCTGACTGTAGGTTCCCCCTGCCTCGGCACTGCTTCCAGCTGTTGTCCTCCCCAGAGGTGCCCACATGCCCGTGGCAGCTGAGATGCCCCGCGGGCAGGGGAGGGGGCGTCCTGGTGCCACCCACCTTCCTCTGGAGCCTGTCGCGCTCCTCCTGGAGAGCCTGCAGGGTCACCTGGGCACGGCTCAGCTCCTGCTCCTTGCTGCCCAGCGCTGCCCGCAGCACCACGTTCCTCTCGGCCAGCGTGCCCGCTTCCTTCCCATACCAGCTGGTCTCCACTGCCCCTAGCTCTGGGCTCAGCTCAGCCACCCTCTCCCCCGGTGCCTGCACAGCTGCCATCTCGAGCCCCGGGGACAGCCCCAGGCCTCGCTCGAGTTCTTCCAGGGTCTGTAGAAACACAGCAGAGCCCTTGCAGCAGCCGCAGCATGCCAGGAGCTGGGGGTCTTACCTGGGCATAGGACGAGGCACGGGCCGAGCTGCCCCGTCCTAGGAGGAGGGAGCCCGTATGGAGCTGCAGGACGCAGGCAGGAAGCGGGGAGCTGCAGGCAGGGCCGGGGGCTCAGGGAGATGGGGGCGGTTCCTGGCACCCACTCACCTCCACCACCTGGGCCCGCTCCTCGCTGCCCGTGCCCGTCTCCGCTCCAGCCCCAGCGAGCTGCAGCACACAGCAGCGCCGGGCGGACACGGTGTGCTCCAGAGACGCCAACACCTGCTGCAGGGCCAGGAACATGTCGGGGCCGACGCCTGCAAGGGCAGAGGGGATGCAGGGAGGCGAGGGGGCCTGTGCCCTTCTGCCCCCTGTGACCCGGGTGCAAGTCCCAGCGCGGATCTTTGCGCCGGGAAGGGGATGTTGCTCCTTGTTCCCTGCATGCACAGACCATTGTCGGGGCAGGAGAGGACTGTGGATCCAGACTGTCAGGGCTGGACCACTGGCCCCTGCATCCAGCTGGCTGCCCAGGGCCAACCAGGGGCTAAGCCAGGCCACACCAAGGCCGTGCTGCACCGTGACCCTCGCAGGGGCTGAGCACGCCCTGAGTCCTGGGGCCAGTCGGGCACCTGAGCTGGGAGGAGCTGGCTCTGTGGAGCAGGTGCACGAGCCACCTGCAGAGCCCTCCCTCCGACGCGCGGGGGGCACCTGGCAGCTGTGGCCAGGGGTGGAGCTGCGAGGGGGCCCAACCCAGTGCTGTGGCCCCAGGTGGCACTGCCCTGGCAAGCAGAGCCCCCTTACCTTCTCTGGGGGGCGGGAGCCGGGGGGGCAGGGGCTGCGGTGCACACCTGGGCAGGCTGGCTGTGTACTCCGAGCACTGGTCCGAGTACTCCTCGTCCTCCCTGCAAGACACCAGAGCCCTGGGGGAGGGAGGCCGACTCCATAACGGGGACGCCACGTCCCCCAGAGCCATCGCGGTGGTAGCAGCCTGGACATGGATCCCCCTGAGACGGGGAGACCCTGGGAGCCAGGGGGTCCGCGGGACTTCCCACTCCCAGTCTCCCGATGCCTGAAGAAGGGTGTTTGTGCCCAAAAGCTTGCAAAGAACTTTTGCCCCCAACTACTGAGTTGGTCTAATAAAAGAGATCCCGTCGACCCACTGCCCGTGTCCTTAGACCAGCGTGGCTACAACCAGCAACCTCCCCGCTCCCAGGACACTGGACGTGCACCTGGGGAGGTAAAACACCGTGTCCTCTTCTCCAGTTACCGAGGGGCAAGAGGCCAAGAAGGCAGCAGGGCCAAGCCAGCCCTGCCCGTACCAGGCCGTGGGCACGAGGGGGGGCCCTGGAGACAATCCCTGCTTTGTTCCCCCACATTTAGCACGCCGGGCATCCAAGAGGAAACCCAGGGCCCTGCTACATGAAGCAGGCAGGGCTCAGCCTTCGGACCAGGGCTAAGGAATCGGATGCTGCCACTGTGATGGACGCAGCGTGGGAGCTCGGAGGGAGCAGGTGGCAGCCTCGTGGCCGGGCGCAGGCAGTCGAGGGGGCAAGATGCAGGAGGGACGAGCACAGCTGCCTAGGGAAGGAGAGGTGCCCAGTGAGGGGGTGACCCACGCAGGGCTGGGGCTGCTCCCTGGCATGCGAACGGGCCGCGGGTCTGCAGCCTCCAGCCGGTACCTGGCTCCGCGCTGCTGCAGCCGCTCGACCTTGCCGTGGAGGTGGGTGATGGTCACCAGCAGCTGCGTGATGCGCTCCTCGTAGCGCAGGATGTCCTGCTCGTCCGTGCCCGCCGCGTCGGCCTCCTCCGCCCTCTCGGCAACCGGGTCCAGCTTGCCCTGCAGCCGGGGCCCCCGAGAACCAGGCATGGCTCACACCCCCGTCCCTGTCCCCCCAACCTGGCCGCGCTTTGGAGACAGGCCTGGCACCCCCTGCCCGGTCGCTTGCGCCGGGGCAGAGCCCCGTGGTTCTGGTCCAGCGGGGTCCTGGGGGCCGTGCAATGGGGGTCAGGCCAGGGTGCAACGTGCCAGCCTGCCACGGCGCTGGTTAAGGCAGGAAGGGAAGGACAGCACTGGCAACGGCAAGTGCCCCTTGCAGCTGCGGGCAGCGGGGGCTTTGCTCCCGTCGGAAACAGGAAGGCCGGAGACGCATCCTGTTTACAGCAGGAACAATGAGCCGCGTCTGCCTGGGGTCACCAGGCCAGTGTCCGGCTGGAGCGCGGAGGAGATTTCCCTGCCCCAGGATCCAGCGCCCCCCTGGCAGCCCCACGGCGGGCTGGGCACCGGGGTGCCCCCGGGACGGAGACACCATGATAGCCCCCGATCCCTTCGGAGCCCCGTCCCCGTGGCCACAGGGCGGGGGGAGATGCGGTGGATTTTCCCACGCCCCCCACCGCGGCAGGGCCAGGCTGGGGCGGTGGGGTGCGGGGATGCCTGGGGGGCCAGGACATGGGGCATCTTGAGACCCACGTGCCCTCGTCCTGCCCCGTGCAGAAGCCACTTGCCTTCTCCATCCCCGCGAGGTGATGGGATTTGCGGTGCAGCACCTGATTCAAGCCAGGGGCAAGGGGCTCAGGGGGGCATCCCCGGGGGGCAATCCGGCAGCGCCCCCCCAGCCTCGACCAGCCAAACGCCCAGTGGGTGCGGGGACGTGGCGCCGGGGCCTTGGCTCCGCTCTGCTCCCCCGCGCGGGGCCGTGCAGGCCTTTCCCGTTTCCAGATCCTGTGCACGCTTCCTCTCCCGGGTGGACCTGTAACCCTTGCGCTGCCCGCGCGCCCAGCCGGCCAGGGGCTCTTCCCACCTGCCCCTCTCCCTGATTGCGCTGGGGGCTGCCCCGCTTGGGTACCGGCCTCGGCTGGCAGCTGAGAGCAGCAGTGTCAGGCACCGATTCAGAGCCCCCCGCAGCCGTCGCACGCGCATCGCTGCCAGTGCCCAGGCGCCAGGCGCTGCACGAACGCAGCAGGGGCAAGCCTGGCCCTGACCACGGGTCACCCTGAGCCTGGCCCCGGGTCTTTATCGCTGGATGGGGCAAGGCAGGATCCTAATGCAGTCGCACACAGCCATGGGTACGAAACCAGCTGACTGCTAGATGCTAATTGTCTTGTGATCTGCATAATGCCCCCCAGGGAGCTTCCATGTTGAGGGGTGGAGTCCGGGGGGGGGCGAAGGGGGCAGCCTAAGAGCTGGAAAGCTGTGTGATAAACACACCAACAAAATATATAATGCCTATAATATTATATATTATTATATAATATATATCATGATATAATATAAGGCAACGTGATAAACACACCAACAAAGTATAGAATAGAAAAGAATAGAATATATATGATAGTATATTCCACAAATATAATATAATATATGATATGATATTATGTTTCCATACATAATATAATATAATAAACATCGGCGACATGCAAATTGGCCTAATGCATACGCAAGGAGCCATGCAAATACGGAGGGGGCGGGCCTACGCGCGACGGGGCGGAGCTCCGAGCGGACACGGAAGGACGGGGGTGGAGCTCGGGAAGCCCCGCTCCCCGGAAGCCGGAAGCCCGGCCTGCGCGCAGGAAACTACATCTCCCGGCAGACCCCAGCGGCTCCGCCCCTCAGCTTCCGGTCGCGTGGGGCCGGGCGGTGCTGTGGGAAGGGAAAGGGGGAGCGCCTGGGGCTGGGGGCAAGGAAGGGCCGGGCCTGGTGGGGGGCAGGGTTGGCATGTGCCCCTGACCTGGGGGTGGGGGAGGAAGGGGTGTCCTGGGCTGTTGGGGTGCTTTGCGGTGGGGTGTCCCAGGGTGCCTGGGGGGCCATACCCTGGGGTGGGGGTGTCCCGGGGGAGCCGGGGTGCTGGTCAGCGCGGGGTTCAGGACACCTCCCTTCTGCTTGCCCTTGGCAGCGCCAGCCCCGGCCCCCCCCGGCCGGGCGCAGGGAGCCGCTCACGGCCTCAGGCTGGAGTCGCCGGCGGAGCGCGGGTCCCTGATGGACCCCTCGGAGCCGGGCAGCGCGGCCGAGGAGGAGGAGGAGAAGGCGTCGGAGCAGCGGCCCCGCACCCGCTCCAACCCCGAGGGGGCCGAGGACCGGGCCCTGAGCGCGCAGGCCAGCGTGGGCAGCCGCAGCGAGGGCGAGGGCGAGGCGGCCAGCGCCGACGACAGCCCGCAGGGCACCGCCGCGCCCAGCGCCAAGGCCTGGCAGGTCCCGGCACCCCCCGTCGAGTTCCAGGTCAAGACGCCCAGAGTCAACTGCCCCGAGAAGGTGGTGAGTGCGGGGCGGCCCGGCCCCGGGTCCCGCAGCGGAGGGGGCCTGATCCGACCCTTCGGGCCAGCCGGCACGATACCCAAAGCGCCTGGCGCTGGGGGTGGCGACGGGCTGACCCTGCCGCTCTCTCTGCTGCAGATCATCTGCCTGGACCTGTCCGAAGAAATGTCGCTGCCGAAGCTGGAGTCCTTTAACGGGTGAGCAGCCCCGCAGCGCGGCCGTGGGCTGTGCACCAGGTGGAGAACGCCGAGACCTGGACCCCAGTCTCGGCTGTACCGGGCGCTCGCTGCGTGATCATGGGCAGGTTTCTTCTCTGCTCTGTGCCTCAGTTTCCCCAGCTGTCAAATGGGGATGAAGCTGTTTGGGGTTTACCCACAGCAAGGCCTCTTGGGCCTGGTACAGGAGAAGCCCGTGAGAGTAGGCAGGTCTGACTGCGTCGGGCTCCAGGTGTCAGGCCAGCGTCTCGCGGCCTAGTCTGACACCTTGGTGCAGGCAGGAAAAGGACCCAGAGAGGGGTTAAGCCTGGACCGGCCACAGGGATCAGGATCTGGCCCTTCAGCATGCCCTGAAGGATGCAATTGGGGGGGGGGATTGTGGGGGGAGGGAGGTCCCAGCAAACGTGTGGACCTCGCGTGCCCTCGGCAGGTCAAAAACGAACGCCCTGAACATCTCGCAGAAGATGATCGAGATGTTCGTCAGGACGAAGCACAAGATCGACAAGTGCCACGAGTTCGCCCTGGTGGTGGTGAACAACGATGCCACGTGGGTGAGTGAGGGCGTCCCAGCACCAGCCTCGTGCGGGGCCCTGATCCCCAGTGACCGCCCCTCCTTGTAAAGAGGACACGAGCCCCGAGTTCTGCTGACCCCCCACCCCCCCGAGCTCCTTCCAGCCTCAGTCCTCTGCGCGGGGTGCGGGGTCTCCCAGAGCAGCCTTGGGGCCCCATGTGCACGGTGCTGCACTGCCTCTGCCTCGCCCTGCTCAGGCGCGATCCGGAGGGGGCATCTGTCACCCTCCCTTAACTTGCCCCATCTTGCCCCAGCTGTCCGGCTTCACCTCCGATCCCAGGGAAGTCTGCAGCTGTTTGTACGACCTGGAGACCGTCGTCTGCAAATCTTTCAGTATCCTTTGGCGAGGGGGGGCAGGCCCGGGGCTGTCAGGTGGGAGGTGAGAGGGACCCTGGGCCGCAAAATGTGTGAAACCCCTTCCTGGCATTGAGGCCGTGGGTAGAACCAGGCACGTCCGTGAGTGTCCTGGGGCATCCTTGCCATCCGCTCTTCTGCCAGGAGATGGCAGCAGGCATCAGCAGAAGCGTGTCCCCATGCTCTCCCAGAGCAAGGGCTGTGGGGGCAGGAGCCAGGATGGAGGTGCAGTGCTAGGGACACCGGGGATGTGCCCCTGGGCTGGTCACAGTTCTCCCTGGTGCAGCTTCCCCATCTGCGTGATAGGGGTCATAGCCCCAGGGTTGGGGGGAGGATGCATGCACTGTGAGAGTCTTGGGCCCTGTAGGTGCCAGCACGGAGAGACTGACTGGGCGGCAAGAGCTGCCAGCTCCTCTGTCAGTGCTGCTCCCCGATCAGCCCCTTCTCTGGGCCCTGCACACTTCTGCAGATCGTGCCCATCGCGGCAGCCCCCCATCGGGCCCTGGCCCCTAGCACCAGGGTCAAGGATGTGCCCAAGAGCATCCACCCACAGCAGGGTGCCCATGTGGGATGGGATGCCTGCCTGGGCTGACCAGTCCTTATCCTGGGCTCCAGATCTGGAAGGCCTCTTCAACCTCATGTAAGTTGGCTGCTCTCGGGGAAGCAGGTGTTGCAGCGCAGTTTGCTTGTGTAGTTCCCCTGGGTGGTGGTGGTGGAGCCAATATCCAGGGCACTTCGTGGCAGCTTCTAGCAGGGGGAGAAAGCAGTGAAGTGTGCTAGGGATATCCACGGTATCATGCAAAAGCAACCCAACGATCTGCTCCCGTGAGCAAGCAGCAGCTCCAAAATCCCTGAGTGCCACGGCAGCAAGTGTGGGGCCGGGCAGCTCTGTGCCTGCTTCCTCCCAGGGTCGGGCTCCCTGCTCCCGTGTGACATACAGCCAATATCCTGGTCCCCCACCTGCAGTCGGGGAGCGCCACAGGCTGCATTGTTTAGCTCAGACTCCTTCACCCCGGTGTCTGGCTTGAGTGGGGTCTGGGACTGCCTTTGCGGGCACCCAGCGAGCACCTGCGGCAGGGCAGGAGCTCCGCCTCCATGCACACGCTTGCTCAGCCTGTGACTTCACGAGGCAGGGGCACTGTGACCCCCGGCTTGTGTCTCGTCATGGCGCAGACAGCAGAAGATCGAGCTGCCGGTGACGGAGAACGTGCAGACCATCCCGCCCCCCTACGTGGTGAGGACCATCCTGGTGTACAGCCGGCCGGCCTGCCAGCCTCAGTTCTCCATGACGGAGCAGATGAAGGTGAGTGCTCCCCGGCTTCCCCGCTCCTGCCTCCATGCTGTACCCCGCGGGGTCCCCCCAGGACACAGAGCAGTTGTCCTGCCTGCCAGGGCTGCTGGTCATCCGCCCCTCCTAACACGTCAGCAATGTCCGCTGCTGCTCCCCAGCTCAGCCAGCCTGGCTTGGACGTTCCCCTGAGCAGGGTGACTTCTCTGCGGGCTGGGGCTGGACAGCTCTGGCCGAGTAATGGGCAGTAGATCCCTTTGCCCAAACATGGCCCAACGAACAGCAGCTACTGCTGCATGAGAGCCACATTGAATCCAGCTTAGGTTTACTTCGCTTCCTGGTGGGCACGTGCCTGTGGCACAAAATCTGCCCCCACGGCTGCAGCCGGGGCAGGACCAGGAGGACCCAATTGCTTCCCCCTCCCTCAGTGTACAGGGCAAAGTGCCCCTGGGAGGATGGGGCTGAGGCCCATCATGGTGGATTGTGACCGTGCTGTGTCTCCAGGCTGGGAGGCTGTCTCTCGTAGCCATGTCCCCTTGGGTCCTGGGCTCTGCCCCTGGATCTCTGCAGTCAGGCCCTGCACTGAGGTGGGACATTTCCTTTCTCTCTGGGCAGAAAATGCTTCAGTGCCCGTATTTCTTCTTCGACGTGGTGTACATCCACAACGGGGCCGAGGACAAGGAGGACGAGATGAGCTGGAAGGTGAGCGGGGCCCGTGGCGTGCATGCAGCCAGGACGTAGGTGCCTCCCTGCGTGCCAGACCTGGTCACTGTGTCTGAAAATGGCTCTGCTTGCGTGGCATGAACAAGGGTCAGACGTGACTCGTGCTGTTGGGCATTGCACGGTTTCGTGTCTCAGCTCTAGCCCCTTTGTGCAGTGATCCCTGGAGCCAGGAAGTGCCAAAGCTTTTACCTCTGAAATGGTCCCATGGGATGGATGTTTCCCTGCTAAGTTGCCAGTCCAAGTCCAGCTTCAGCCAGTACCGTTCTTAATTAACAAGCATGAGCATCGCGGGTAGCAACAGCTAATGATCCTCTGCACATGGCACAGCGAGGGCATCCAAGGCGTTTGCAAACAACCTCGCTGCATCTCAGGGGCCCGTTTCACCCCAGTCCCCTCACCCCGCCCGGTCCCTTGTCTGCAGCCCAGCATGTCCCTGACTGATGTTGGGCTGCTGCTTCCCTCCCTAGGAGATGTACGCCTTCTTCAGCAACCTGGACACCAAAGGCACCAACTACAAGTACGAGGTGTCCCTGACGGGGCCCGCCGTGGAGCTGCACAACTGCATGGCCAAGCTCTTGGCGCATCCCCTGCAGCGCCCGTTCCAGACCCACGCCTCGTACAGCCTGCTGGAGGAAGAGGAGCCCGCCGAGATTGAAGCCACCGTGTAACTGGTGCCGTGGGCCTCCACGGGGGCACCTGCAGCGAAATGCAGGCGGCCTCTCAATTCGCTCCCTGCAGAACGGCGGCCCTGTGCCCGGCAGGCAGGTCTGTAGGAAGCCGGTTGTGTCTCAAGTGCTCCCCGTGGAGGCGCCGGTTGAATAGCCTTTAACTTCTATCTTTTCCAGTTAAAAGGTCAGATCTTTGCCTTGCCAGAGAGGGTCTTGGAGGGGCTGGTCCTCCTTTGTAGCCCAGCGTAGGCAGCATTTTTGAGCGAACTCAACTTTAAAAAATAAAAAGTACACCCCAAGTACATCCGTGTAGTCCTTGAGCTTTAGTGTGCGGGCTGGAACAGCCTTGATCTGTGAAAGGCCGCTGCAGTGAAACGGAGGTGAGGACCCGACTTCCTTTTTCCCCAGCCGCTCCTGGCCGCCAGTCTGTGAATAAAAACACACATTTAAAGGCGGCGTTGGGGGCGAGGCGGTTGTTCTCGTGCGTGTCACGAGCCCCGTGCAGGCACGCGTTTTGCATCTGTCCCCCCAGGGATCCATGCATCGAGGTGTTGCTTGCAGGATGCGGGCAGGACTCGGGTTTTTGCGTCACATTTAATGGATGTGAAAACCTGGTGCCCCGGGGAGCAGCAGACTGGGGCCAGTACTCCGTGCGAGCGCAGTCCCCCCTGTTGCACTGGGGTTGGCTTCCTTGCCACCAGCACCAGGCCTCTGCGCCCCCCCCCCCGTGCCAAGACGGGCGAGGGCTGGGCTCTGGGCTGCAGTGGGAGCAGAGGCAGAGGCCAGGTCCTGCCCCGGCGGGGTCGGGACTCGAACCCGGGGCCCCTTGAGCGCAGGGGCGGGGGGAGGTTACGAGGGCTCGCTCCTTTCAGCCCGGCCACTCCGCGGCAGATTGTCCCCCCAGCCTCGCTCTCTATTGGCTGCAGCAGTGGCCAATGAGGAACGGGCGGGGCGCGCAGGCGCAGTGGGGCGGGGCGGGACGTTCGAAGTGCGGCCGTAATGACGGGACTGGCGGCGCAGCTCTGCGAGGCGCTGCGCGGCGAGGAGGAGGCGGCGTGAGCGGGGGGGGCATTGCAGGGGGGTGTTGCATGGGAGGGTTGAATTGCGGGGGGTATTGCCCTGCACAAGTACAGCGGGGTCCGGGGCTGGGGAGGGGTCTCATTGCACTGGGGGGATGCAGTGCACTGGAGCCAGGGGCGGGGCCACAGCCTGGGAGCTGCCTGGGCTTGCCCAGAGCAGCCTTGCCAGGTCTTAAATATGAAATTATCATTATCCAAATGATCACGTTTGCTAAAAAGCTACGGTGCACTGCAAAGATATGCAAATAAGCGTGCAAGTAGGCCCCCGTGCTCACCTGATATGGCGCTCTGCCATTGGCGGCGAGTGCAAACTGGGTCATCACGGTTGAAGCCTGTTTTTATTTCGAGGCGGGCCATCGTGCAATGCTGCCGGCGAGTCCAAAAGTCGGCTCAGTCCTGAGAATGACTCGGGTTTTGCAGATTAAACGAGCTGCCTCAAAAATGCTCGGACTTTTTGGACGCTTTTACTAGCGCTGCTCCTCGTGCAATGGTCAAAATGATCGTACAAATAGGATGATTCTCATACGCCCGGCAACACTGCCTGGGAGTCGCTCGGGGCATAGGAAGGGGCGGCCCCCTGCCCCCGTGCAGCCCAGACCCCCCCTTCAAACACCCGCCTAGAGAACCCACTCTCCCTGCAAAGGTCCTGCCCGGTGGGGTAGGGTGGTCCTGGCTGCCCGCACTGCCCTCAAAGCTGCCGGGGGCTTTGCTGTGCCCATGGATGCCAGCCCTGATGTGGGCACAGTGCGTGGGTCCCTGCCCGGGGCGGGCCTGCATGCTGAGGGGTCAGGAGAGGTCCCGGGACCTCAGCAGG